GCGGGGCCCGGCGGGTGGGCGCGGAGCTGGCCGCGGCGCGCGCTCCTGAGCCCGGGCGTGCTAACGCGGGTTTTGTGTTTCTAACGCAGAGGCCGTCGTCCGCTATGGAGCTCGCCTTTACTCCGCTGGAGCCTCTGCTTCCCTCTGGTACTGTACTGCTTCCCTGGTGTCGGCCTCAGGCCGCTGCCCCCGAGCCCGGGCGCGGCGCCGGGACTGGACTCCAGACCCGCAGGGCGCCAGGCGGCCGCGGGTCCCGTCCCGGTGCGCTCCCAGCCTGGAGGCGCCCACGCGGCCTTCTGTGCCCCGATTTCCTCTCGGGGAGCAAGAAGACCGAGGGATGCGGGGTGCCCGCGCCCCGTAATCCAGTGTCTGACAGCCCTCACCGAGGGAGCAGTGACCTACCCGAGGGGTGCGCTAGGCCGACGCTGCCCACCCACCTGCGCGCCCGCCGCGCGCGTCCCCGGCCCAGGAGGTGACACACACAAGGGTTTGACAGTGACTCACCCACTGGGCAGAAAGTACTAGTGTAAAGTGCGAAGTGTCAGTCACTGGGAAATAGATGGATGAGTTTCCGGGAGGCTCACGGCTAGTTCGCTCGCCCTCCTGTAACGGTGCGGTCATTCTCAATAAACACTCCTCTTTATCCACTGCTTTTCGCTTCTGTTCTGTAGCGCTGCTCGTCGGGCAGGTCCTAAATTGAAACATACACAGGTCTGAAACGTCTAAACTTTTTAGAAACCCCTGAATGCGTGGGTTTTATTTAGGCTGTTGAGTTGGATTGGAACATGTGGGGGCCTCCATATTCCGGGAGGGTTGACAGTAAAAAAGGAAAAATCAGTATTGGGGCCCTGCTTGAAAACTGAAGCCCTAGCGAAGGGGTTAACATAAGCCTATGAGCTTGTTTTACAGGTGCAGGAAATCGGACAATGACGGGCTAGAATTTGAACCCAGATGCACTTGATTTGGTCAAGTGGCCAGGTGTTTAATGTGAACAGCTTTCCAAAGTTAAAGCACCGGCAAACATTTGCTCGCTAAATTTCAGTTTTCAGCTACCCGAATAGCAAGCAGGGCCTCCATTTCCAGGAGTAAACACTTGGCCTAGGTGACTGTTGGTTGGAAGACCTGACCCAAGATTTTAGTGTTTTCTACATTGAAAGAAGAATTTTAGTCTGGGGAGCTCTACATAGAGACTAGGTTGAGAAGTCGGGGGGAGCAGAGAAGCCCTCTGGGTTTAATCTTGAGGTCTGGTGAAACTACCCCTAAACCACTGTTAAAACTTAAATACCCTCATTAAATATAATTTTTAAATTCCACTTTGCCACTTAATCGTTCTCTGCACATGTCTTCGTTTCTTGGTGTGTATAAATGGGAACACTTGGCAGTGTTCTTGTGAGTATGAGTTGTGATACATGTAAAGCAGTTAGCTTGCAGAGCGATACATGGTTATTTAGTAAGTTTGAGAGGAAAGCAAACAGGTGTTTGGGTGTCAGGGTCAAGTGCAGAGATGACAAAGTTTCAGGGCAGCAGTGGAGCAGAAACAGGCAGTTTGCTTCCTCTGTTTTAGACAAAGACTTTGTCTAAAACTCTTAAAGACTCTTTAAAACAGACATTGCTAAGGCCTTTTGTCAGGTGCTGGACCAGGAACTTGACGGAAGAGTGAGAACTGTGGTGTCCTGCACTGAGCAGAGCTCTGCCCAGTCAGAATCCTGCCTTCCCTTAGGGGACTCTCTGGGAACTTAATGCTTCTCAGGTTTCCTTCCTCATGTTCCTGAGAGCGGAAAGTATGCAGTCCTTGTTACAGGGCAGGGAGAAGGGCACCCCAGAACCCCCAAACCTGCCTGCTGTAAGTAGGTTCTGCTGTCGGCTGTATCAAGACAAAATATATAAGACCTTAAGTGTGCAATACAGACAAGAAAAGGTATGTACTTTGCAGATCTAGCACCCAAAGAGACCCGTCCCCTCGGGTAAAAGTCCACCCAAATGGGATGGCCCAAAGCCAGGCCTGAAGCTGCCACAGTCTAAAGTACTTTAAGGCAGGGACCCATAGAACAGGGTCAGAAACAGACAAGTCGGGGAGGAAAAGATCAAATTCAAAATCACAGTTGCCATAGTTAACCTCCCTACACGTCTCACCCACACCTGTCCCCACCAGTCCAGGACCAGAAAGAAGCGCAGTTTCGTCACATGCCTCTGCTCTGTGTGGCTCCCTCAGGTTTCCTGGCTCTCCATCTGCTTCGCCGGCCTTCCTTCCACAGTCTCCTCTCCAGTGTCTTCTCCCTGCTCAGCTCCACCCTCTCTTAGGTGAGGCAGGGTGCCTGGAGCCTCCCCTTTTTCTGGGGACCCCCCTATTGTATTCTGATCTGTGGCGGTGAAACAAGGGATCCAGGCAAGAGGCACTAAAAACCTTTGACAGAATAGTGTTCTGAGGGGCCCATGCAGTGCCTGCCCGTTCCTGTAATTCAGTAAATATTTGAGGCTGACATATTAGAGGGATTCTTTATAACAGACACACATTAAATGCCTGTCAGGTAGTTTTCTGTGCGCAACTGAATTTCCTTGGTAGCATGATCTGCTTGCAGTGCTTAAGGGGATTTAGTGGAGTGGGGGATCTAACAAAAAGCTGTTGTCTTCAAATTAATTACTAAGTGGACCAAAGAGCTAGTCTCTCTGGGCTCTATAGCTCAAAGAAAGGTTTTTTGTTTAATCTTTGTTTTGGTAACTAAACAAAGTGCGTATTACTTAAGCCACAATCTAACCTAGAATGTGAGTTTCCTGTAATTCCTCTTTAGAAGTAATCGCTAACACTTGGCATGCATGTTCCTATTGTTGCGGTGTGTTTCTTTGATCATATGTTTGCATATTGATGCAAGCCGATCGGCGTGATAAATTTCTAGAAATGGCCCTGCTGGATCAAGGTACATGTCTATCAAGAGGAACTGCTAGCTAGTAATCTGAGTGCCGTGGGAAGTAAGATGTGGTCTCTCTTTAATGGTCTTGTTGGAACGTTGAGAAGCAGACAAGATGGATTCCAGCCAGTCGACTGTTGCGGAACCACCTAGAAACTGCAGGGCCTCAAGAAGCAGGGGAGGGGAGTTGGGAGCGAGCAAAGAAATAATGGTACGGACATAGCACCGGGCTCTAAAAGCATCAGCTTTAAGTTGGGAGAGTTCTGGGGGTAGCAGAGTGATGGGCTGTCCGGAGGGCAGGGTCAGTGCTGTCCCTGGCCGTGGGTGGGCTCAGCTGGGGGTCTGACCAGGTTGGAGAGCAGCTGAGGTTTGGAAGCAGGTGGTTGTACACGGGCAGGGCAGGAGAGAGAATGTTCTTGAAAGGTGGTGTGTTCTCCACTGGAACACAAATCTGAGCAGCCTTTAGGGCCCCTGTGGCACAGTGAGACGGCGTCCTGTCCCGCGCCTGCTTGCCTCTGTCAGCAGTGTGTCCCCCTTCCCACCGAGAGTAGTTGCTGTGGAGCTGTGACTTGAAGGGGCTCGAAATGACCTAGAACAAAGCAGCTTCTTTTCGCTTTACAACAGTTGAGCGTGGAGTGAAGTGAAGTGAGCAGGCCTGCTGCCTGCTGCTCGGGACGTCCCCATGGGGCCTTGGCTGTGCCTAGGCCCTGCTTCCTCATTCCCACTCCCCACTCTGCCCACGTCCAATGATTGCCCACTGCTTACTGAGGGGAACAGTCGTGCTACTTTGAGTCCTTCACTCATGCTGAATTTATCTCCTGGAATGTCCTCGAGTTAAGTCTGAGCCACTTGGTGGGACTGTGAGGTTCCAGGACGCATTTATTTCCCTGAACAGAGAGCAGCTTTCGCGTGTCTCTTTGGTCTTCACTTACCACTTGTGAAATGTTTGTCTCCTGCCATTTTCTGCTGGCTTGTATTAAAATCAATTTGGGGAGTTTTTTTTTTTTTAATTGACAAAGCTTTGTATAAGTTTTGTAGGTGTGCAACGTGATGATTGGTGAGGTGATACCAACTAGGAGAATCTTTGTATGTTCTAGATAATTATTTACATCTTAATTTTGCTCATCAATGAAACAGGGAGAATGGCACTTTCCAAGGACAGTTGTGGAGATGACACAATATTTATGAAGCATTTAACACTGATGTGTATATGATGCGTGCCATCATTTTTAGTTATTCTGATAGATTTCTAATGAATAAAGATAATTAACATGGTTATACGATTGCTATTTTTCATTTTGTTACTACTATAAGTGCCTTTTCAAAACAGATAGGAACTTTTTTTTTGCTTTGGTTGGTGATCATTCTTACTGTGAGACTTTCCGTTTAGAAATTTGTGTGTCTGACACTTAAGAAAGATTTATCTTAAGTACTTTATAGCTAAAAACTGAAAGGTCAAAACATCTTCATAATTCTTATTCTGTATGTGCTTTTTTCCAAACTTAAAGATATGAAGTTAACAGTTAAAGAGGCTCTCATATCTAGTTAAGTAAAAATGCTGATATTTTAAGTTTTTGTAATGACAGGTCATGTACATTATGAACAGACTAAAGCTAGAGATAAACAAAAATGAAATAAAAGTCCACATTCTAGCCTGTCAGATTACCACTGTCATTTCCATGAATATGTACATGTGATGTTTATGTATTTATTAACTCCAAATATTTGCACTGTATAAATATATAGTATCTTCAAACCAAAGTGAAAATGCCATAACTAGTTTTATTCAGTCCATTTTTTCCTGTCTTATTTCACAGTATTTAATATCCATATTGCAAATTTCCCATTCTAAAACTTTTTCAGCTGTTTGCTCTAAAGCAACACCCACTTGGTTTAGTCTGCCTAAATCTGACACGACTGTTCACCACATTTTAAACCCTCTTTCATAACATTGAATGTTGATATTTGAAATAAAGCTTTTCTGTACCACTTTCAGATAGAGCAAATGGAATAAAAAAAAATTAGCAAATTAACTTGAAGCATTCACTTCAGCCAATATATGAAAACTCTTGCTCACATAACTTGATCATAATTTTAGGCTAGAAAGTTTCCTGCCATTCTACATTCTTTGAAAAGATAATATATACATTTAGATTTTTAAATAACTGTAACCATAACATTCTGGGGTTATTTCTTCTGAAATGAATGATAATTTTTTAGGTTTATTATAAATTTGGTTTA